ATATATATATATATATATATATATATATATATATATATATATATATATATATATATATATACATATATATATTTACTATATATGTGTATGTCTGTGTTTGTGTGTGTGTGTGTGCAGTAGTAACAGTAAAGGAGGACGTGTCGGAGGAGGAGGAGGAGGAGAAACAGGATCTGGAGAGCGAAAGAGTGTCTGAAGAGTCAACTGAGGAGGAAACAGCAGATGCAGACACAGACGCAGAGACAACAGTGAGACGCAGAGTGCAGAACAAGAGCACTACTGAGGGAACATAGCCAGCGCAAACCATGGGAGGCAGTTTGGGACCAAACACACTGCAACACTTGCGCATACAAATATCTGTTTGCTCATATATAACAAACACATCTGGAGCGTCTGCAAATACACACTTTACTTTTGTACAGTTTGAAATTTTTCACAGTATTTCCTATAATATTTTTTCTTCTGGAGAAAGCCTATTTATTTATTTCAGCTAGAATAAAAGCATTTTAAGGTCCATATTATTAGCCCCCTTAAGCATTATTTGTTTTGGATAGTCTAAAGAACAAACCACTGTTATAACTAATATAATAACTTGCCTAATTACTCTAACCTGCCAAATTAACCCAGTTAAGTCTTTAAATGTCACCTTAAGCTGAATACTAGTATCTTAAACAATATCTAGTGAAATATTATTAATTGTCATCATAGCAAAGATAAAATAAATCAGTTATTAGAAATGAGTTAATAAAACTATTATGTGTAGAAATGAAATGCAGGAAGAATATACAGGGGGGGGGGTAATAATTCTGACTTTAACTGTATATAGATGAGCAAACAGAGATTGGTGTATTTCTTCTAAAGTGTTTTAGTCCCACTTAAGTAGACTCCAGAGATGTTTTGTATATATGAGAAAACATCCAGTTGAAACCAGAAGTTTACTTACACTGTATAAAAGAGCAGATGACCATTTAAAAAAGTCAGATGTTAATGTGACTAAACTTTTCCTCTTTTAGGTAAGTTAGGATGATCTCATTTGTTTCTGTTGTGCTTAATAGCAAAATAATGAGAGAGATGTTTTTAGAGAAATTTTTCTAACTTTTCTTGAAAGTCAAGTTTCCATACAATAAGATTATTCTGCCTCAGAAAAAGCTCAGATGATGATGTCAAGGTTTTGGAAGTTTCTGATTGGCTAATTGACAACATTTGAGTTAATTGGAGGCACAACTGTAGAATAGTATTTAGGGAAAACCTCAAACACACTGCTTCCTTGTGTGACAACATGGGAGAATCAACAAGCCAGAATCAACAACAAAGCCAGATTACCATTTGCTAAATTACACTGGGAAAAGACTCATGTTTGGAGACATGTCCTGTGCTCTGATGGAACTAAGATTAAACTGTTTTGCCATGATGACCAGTGTTACATTTGGAGGACAAAGGGGAAAGCTTACAAGCCTAGGAACACCACCCCAACTGTGAAATATGGGGGCGGCAGCGTCATGTTGTGGGGCTGTTTTGCTGCAGGAGTAACTGGTCCACTTCACAGCATAGATGGCATCATGAAGAAAGAACATTATGTAGAAATACTGACGCAACATCTCAAGACATCAAGTGGGAAATTAAAATTTGGCCACAAATGGGTCTTCCAAACCGACCATGACCCTAAGCATACTGCCAAACTAGTTCAAATGTGCTTTAAGGACAACAGAGTGAATGTTTTGGAGTGGCCATCACAAAGCCCTGACCTCAATCCTATTAAAAAATTGTGGGCAGAGTTAAAAAAAGCTTGTGCGACCAAGAAAGCCTACAAAATCTGAATTCTGTCAGGAGGAATGGGCCAAAATTCCTTCAAACTATTGTGAGAAGCTTCTGGAAGGATACCCAAAACATTTGACCAAAGTTTTACAGTTTAAACGCAAAGCTAAAAAAAATACCAAGGAAATGTGTGTAAACTTTTGACTGTCTAGAAATTAATTAAAATTGTAAAAAATTAAAAACATTTCTCTCATTATTCTGGCATTTAGCAAAAGCAAATTATTTAGGTAATCCTAACAGAACTAAAATAGTAAACGTTTAGTATGATTTAACATCACACATTTAAAAAAAAAAAAAAAAAAGGTTATGTTCCTTTTCTTGAGTGTATATATGTAAACTTCTGGTTTCAACTGTATATTCAACACAGGCTCATTGTGAATACCCTATATTAATTTCTGGAGAGTGTGATGTATGTAGCTAGAGGTTTGTATGGCTGTATTTCATCTTTAAAATGGGGCGGTATGACGTTGTAGATGGCTCCAGCTGACTGTTTACCTTAGTGTGGACGGCTTTTCCGTTGTTACCAGTTTGCCCAGTAGCTTGATGCGTACATCGGCGGACTTGAGACGCAGAAAGGAGTTAACCACAACGACAGGGTTCCAGAATGGTTCCAGATAAAACATTAAAAAAACGAAATAAAAAAAATAAAATAAATAAGTAAATAACAGAGTGAGAACATGGTAAGATCTGAAAACGTGGTAAAAAAAATCAGATGTGAAAACACTATCGGTTGGGTTTAAGGAAGGGGGTGGGCGGGGTATCGGTCGGTCAGTCAGTCAGTTGACATCGTCCTCTGGTGGATTTACGTGAGAACAGCAGGCTCGAATGGCACTTGCTATAGAAATTTCTATATCTGAAAAAGCGTACACAGCGGCCTCTGGCAGATTCGCAAAAACAAAAACTGCAAAAAACATACCTTTTTGGACATATTTGGTGCTCTCCAGAAATGTATACAGGGGTACATATTAATAATGAGCCTGAGTTGCATATATTTGCACGCACAAGTGTTTCAGTGTGTGGTCCCAAGCTGCCTCCCATAGCAAACAGCACCAAAAACAACTGCAATCCACGCTATATCTGTAAGATATGCAAAGCAGCGGCTGTCGACGGCTCATTTACGCACACACACACACATCACGGTTTGAGCTTCTCTGCGCTTTTTTTCACTTACTGTAGTTTTTGAGAGTAGCTGCTTCAATTTATGATGCCAAACTTTGATGGATGTTTTCTGTACACACCAATAATAAGAATAAGCGTAAGATGAGTTTTCTTTAACGCTTAAGGATTTAAAAAAAAATGTTTACATGTAATGTATTAGGACAGGGGTGCCTAAAACTCAGTCCTGGAGGGCCGGTGTCCTGCAAAGTTTAGTGTCAACCCCAATCAGATACACCTGGGCTAGATAATCAAGCTCTTACAAGGCTTTCTTGAAACATCCTTGCATGCGTGTTGGAGGTTGAATCTGCAGGACATCGGCCCTCCAGGAGGAAGTTTGGGCACCCCTGTATTAGGATGAATCAAAGAACAAAAACAATATCTGGCTCATATTTCACCTCAAATGGAACTGTAACTGTTGATTGATGATGATTAGGCACAGTGTTTTTAAAGTGGTAGTATTTGTTATGCTGCCTTTATACGCGTTTGTGATAAGTATTTTATACGTTACATAATTATAATTCAAAATGTACATGAATATATAATTGTAATTTTATAATTTTCTATATGCTTCAGTTTTATACTGTAATGTATTACAAAAGTATGAACCGCATTACAGGAACATTTTATGATGCAATTATTGTATAAGAATCTTAAAAGAAATGTGTATAATCATCATTAACGTCACTATGAATATTTCTTCCAAGATAAAAGACTCCAAGATAAAAGTTTGCATTTACATAACACATATATGTGTGTACTCTGTATATTTATGTATATATGTGTAAATACACACACATACTGTACATAAAATACTAAAATATACAAAATTAGTATATCTA